GTACCAAGACCATAATTTTGGCCAACAGCAACAAGGTGCAGGCGTTTATTAACGAATGGTTTATGGATCATCCCAGTGGCAAGGTGCACCAAATACTAATTGTAATTGTCCTAGGCATGGTTGCGCTCTTCTGGTACACGTGCAGCACCATGCGGGAGCTGCAGAAGCAGAGCGAGAATGGATCCAAGACAATGGCCCAGCAGGCTGGAAATAACAGCAACAATGGCAGCACTGGAAGCAACGGCAGCAACATCAGTACTCAGGATCTACTTGATCTGGGCAATGGATATGTGCGTGTCGGCAAGATTAGCTTCAATTCCAATGAAGTCTTGGGCAAAGGTTGCGAAGGTACCTTTGTCTTCAAGGGCAGCTTTGAGGAGCGTTTCGTAGCTGTGAAGCGTTTGCTCCCGGAGTGCTTCACTTTTGCTGATCGCGAGGTGGCCTTGCTACGCGAATCGGATGCGCACGAGAATGTGGTCCGTTACTTTTGCACAGAACAGGATCGTCAGTTTCGGTATATAGCCGTGGAGCTGTGCAACGCCACCCTGCAGGATTATACCGAGGGCGATCGTGCAATGGAACTCCGCCAGCATATTGATATTTGGCAGGTTCTCGTTCAGGCAGCTGCTGGACTGAGTCATCTACATTCACTAGATATAGGTTAGTTGCATTGATATTTCGATATTATATTATTCGTTATTTACATGTTTTTCATTTCCTTTCCAGTTCATCGCGATATAAAACCACAGAATGTACTGCTGTCGCTGCCCGACCCTAAGGGCAAAGTGCGCGTTATGATATCGGACTTTGGACTATGCAAGAAACTCAACTTTGGACGCACCAGCTTTTCGCGTCGCTCAGGCGTTACGGGCACCGATGGCTGGATAGCCCCAGAGATGATGCGTGCTCAGCGAACCGTAAGTCCTATTGCACACATAGATTTCATATGAATTCTGATGCATCCTACTGCTTGCAGACCACGGCGGTGGACATTTTCTCGCTGGGCTGCGTATACTACTATGTGTTGACCGGTGGGCATCATGCCTTTGGCGACACTCTCAAGCGTCAGGCAAATATACTGTCGCACGAATATAACTTGTCCAAGCTGCGCGCTGAAGACGACGCTGAGCATAGCAAAATTGTAAGTCACGACTAGTATCAACTCAGAGACATACTCATATGGAAATACTTTGCATAGGTACTGGCGGAACAGCTTATATCAGATATGATACATAAGGATCCACAGGCGCGACCGCCGGCGCGCTGCATTGGCAATCATCCACTCTTCTGGGATGAGCCGAAGATGCTCAGCTTTCTGCAGGATGTTAGCGATCGTGTGGAGAAGCTTCAATTTCATACCGAGCCACTCAAATCGTTGGAGAAGAATGGGCGTATTGTTGTTCTCGACGATTGGAACTTGCATTTGGATCCATTGATTACAGATGATTTGAGAAAATATCGAGGATACATGGGCGCCAGTGTGCGAGACTTATTGCGCGCTCTGCGTAATAAAAAACATCACTACCACGAGCTGACGCTCGAAGCACAGGAGTTGCTCGGCTGTATACCACACGAGTTCACTAACTACTGGGTGGAACGCTTTCCGCAGCTCATCTCGCATGCTTATCATGCATTCAGTATTTGCTCGAACGAGCCCATCTTTAAGCCCTACTACAGCGTCGGTTACCACTTTTCGCGTCCCTGGTACTTTGATGCCGATGATGCAATGTTTCCCATGCTAATGCGTGATCCCAAGCCGCTGCCCAAAGTAGGAAGTCCTAAGAAAACGCCGCCCGCGCCACAATCATCTCTAAACGCGCAGCAGATAAAGCAACGCAAGGGTGCTTACAACTTTCGTAAAATGCCAAATGAGGAGGTGATGGCCGGTGTGGGACTGCAACGCAATCTGGAGCCGGATGCGCAGACACTCGACGCAGATGTTGGCAAGCGCGATGTTTACGCCAATTTCAAGTTTAGACGTTCCAAGGCAAGTAATAGAAATTATGCAGCGGGGACCAAGGAGCAGGAGAAGGAAAAGTTTGTTAGCTGGACACTGCCGTCGACTACGACGGATTAGAATTAAAACAAAGCACTTGACTAGTTAAACTTTTATTATATTTAGTAATATTGATTTTATTATAATTAGTAATAATTATTATTATTTAATTGTGCAATGCGACTATTCCAAAACAATTTCCCGATTTCATTTTAGATTTTTTTTTTTTTATAGCCAATTCAATGAAAACCGTACTGATTCAAAAATTCATACGAAAGATAAAAGCTAAATTTATTTTATATATAAATATATATATATATATATTCGAAGAGTGTACGATAAGTCTATGGAAGAGAAACGATATGAAGAGTGTGTTTATCGAATGCACGCAATTTAACTGTGATAATTTTATGTAGTTATGTTCTAATGCCCAGGTGCAAATTTAAATAGAAAATAGTGCAAGTTTTACATGCCTCTATGAAAGAGTAATAAGAGACTCAAAACAAACAAGCAAAAGATTGAGAATGGAAGAATTTTCTCAGAATCTGATAACTTATAACTAAGATATTTTTATTTAAAAAAAAAATGCACTTAGTATTAAACATTTCATAATAGTAAAACACGATTTTTTCCTATGCACTTTTCTATGTACTCTTATAACAGCCTTATTTGCATTTTGATAAATTTAATAAAAATGAATTAACTGTATGAAAAAAAAACTTGTGTTATATGCTTCTCTGAGGTTTTGATAAGGGTTGAACCATCTTAATAAACTGGTTGAAAAATCAAATTTTTTAAATTCCGTTTCAATTGAATTGATAATGACTTAGAGGAGTCGCCTATAAATGATAAATTTTAGTCAGCAAATTTTTCGAATCTGTCTACTGTTTCAATTCCCCTGGGATTTCGATTCAAATTTAAGGATTCTTAGTTATTATATTACAATGCGCACGTAAATATAGTTTAATTTGATTTATTTATTACATAACAATACCCGGCGCTGTTTGGCTTTAATTGGAGGTGCACCTCAACAGCTGCAAATTATATACATGTATAAATTTGAAGTCATCTAACAAAGTGTAACATTTTTATTGATAAATAAGTTACTTTTCATAAATTTAACAATCATAAATAATATTTCTATGTACTTTTAGCTAAAACAAGAGATTTCGATTTTGTTTCTTTAGAAGAAAATAATTTGTAACTAGAATTTGGTTATACATCATTGTTTTTTGTTTTTGTTTCACTTTGGCGTAGTAAAAGCTTCTTCAGATCAACCGAGTATTTCCGGTTTTTAGCCACATCTAATAGGAGGGCTTCTTGAGGGATATCATTTCATGTTGCAAACAGTGTTTGAATGCATCCCAACCCTCCGACTTGGCCGTCGACTGTAAGGCAATAGTTTCTTGATTAGTTTCATAGGGGAAAGTTTTTGGGTGTAATCAAAAAATAGTAATAGTGCGCAAAAGTGGGAGATACGACAAGTGGGTGAGACGCAGAGTCGAAAAAGAAAGTGGGGGGTTCCATACCATCGTGAACCAACCTTTGCGTGGCCAACGTTTTTATCTTTTTGTTCGTTACACCGCATCTCAATCATATCAGCCTCTTGCTAGGAAATAACAAAAAGCACGAGTGTATTTGCCACACTATGACTAAATTGGAACTTTAGACCTGGGTTTCAGCTGTACGCTTGGGCATGTGAGTCAGGTTTGTCAACAATCATAAACTCTTTGGCATAACAAAAATATTTGATTAGCTGATGAGTAACAAGAACAACAACAACAACAACGACAAATGATAAATTAACAAATGAATGCGATCAACAACAACAAATGAATGGAAGGTGTGAGAAAAAACAAACAGAAATTAATCGGGGTATTCCTGCATAAATTAAACTGAGAGACAGTATTTTGTGAAACAGCTTAATTAATTGCAGGGATTACCCTAACATTCAAGAATGATTAATATTAAATAAAGTACATAAAGTATTCTTAAAATTAACATTAAATAAAAATCGAATTTATTGTTTATTGGTAAATTTTAATGTTTGTGGCCAATCAAGATCTTAAAAATAAAATAAATCTTCAATCCAATTGAGTCGTTTAACAATTGGTGACAATGCAAATTAAAATATTAACTAAACAGTGATAAATAAGTAACATTCAAGCTTAAGCACAAATAATCTAAATCGAATTAAGCACACGAACAAATGTGAGAGACAGACACACACGCACACGCACACACACACACACACACACACACATACGTAAGCGATAACGAGAACAAAAGCTGTTTTAGATTAGTGCCACAGCGCATCGCTGTCAATGTAGTAGTCCAATTGGCGACAGAGACTGTGGCGCCAGGCTTGGAACATGGGATACTCGGGATCGTCGTATGCATCCAGTGCCTCATTGTAATCAAAGAAACGACCACTTACTCTGAAGCCGCGATGCAAGCGATCCTTCATGATGGCTATGAACTCCTTATAGTGCAGCAGGCCATCGCCGTCCGCATCGAATATGGCAAAGACCGTATCAATCAAGTGCTCGCTGAGGCTATATCCCGTACAGATTTTTGCAGCGCGTGCAAATTCATCTGTGAAAAATAAATTAATAATAATAATTAAAGTTAAATCAATCAGTCGCTTGACTTACCTTTGGATATGGAGCGATCGGCCAGTGTGTACATACGCATGGCGATTGTAAAATCATCGAGATTGTTCAGAAAATGGCAAAAGTCTCGAAAATCATTGAAGGAAATGCCCTTTTCATCCTTGACGCGCTGTAGCAAACGCTCCAAAAACACATCGTACTCGTCCGTGGCCAGATAGGTGTAGCGGAGCAAGATCTTGGCGAAATCTAGCTCCGTTATGAAGCTTTGACCCTTGGAGAACTCATTGAACTCCAGTTCCAGCACCTCGGTCTGCAGATTGTCCATGAAGCGATAGAAATGATCGTAGGTGATGACTCCGGTGCCGCGCTTGCCAAACAGATGCAGCTGCAGAGTGGTGGGCACCATATGACGTCGCTGTAGTCCTTCAACATCATCCACATAATCCCGCTGTAAATTTATACATATTTATAGTAATTGGATCGCTCACTCTTTATTCTGTTTAGTCACACAGCAGTTAACTAGCGCATGCTCAACCTTACCTCGATCGCAGTTTCTTCTTTTTCATTGGAATCGGAATCGTAATCATCTAGCGTCTGCTCGCCGTGTTTTTCTTTCCATGCGCCGCTAAATATGCGCTCCATCTGGGATTTTTCGGTTATATACAAATCGTTCAAGTGGAGGGGTTTATGGGGTAGTTAGATTTGGAGAGAAGAACAGTTAGGTTTAGGTTTAGTAAGGTTTTTGGTGGCATTGGGGGTGGAGTTTTGTAAAAACGTAAGAAACAGAACGAAACGTAACGTAAATGCATAACGTAATCAAATTTAAAGGCATACATTATTGATAACACTGGAATAGGATAGGGTTTGGCAGTAAAAAAGCAATTGTACAGCTTTGCAAATAACATAGCCTCAAATAACATAACATAACGTAACGAAAAGAAACGCGTAACTAACGTAACTATGCAAAGCTTCTACATATGCGCTTTACGCATATTTGACAACGTCGAGCGTAGTTTTGTTTGCTGTAAAGCAAAGCCATAAGATATTTTATTGCATTTTGTCGATTTCTCGTTGACTTACAAGACCCCTGGGTCGTGAACTAGGCAAATTTTTCAAGACTGCTTTCTCATCAAAGGGTAATAAGCGCCGTAGCTGTATTATATTATTAAATAAAATTATGATATTCAATTAAAACGAAAAGTAAATAATAATTTAAGATAAATCCTTTTGCTAACGCTGGCTATTCAGATAGAATTTCGAATTGATAAAATTATAATTAAAACATTGCAAATAAATCTTACAACTTCTTTAGTTTTTGGTTCCACATCTTGAAGGGACTTGATAGCGCCAGCCAAAATGGCAATAATCTGTTAAAATTATAATAAAAATAAATTATATAATAAAATAACAGTTTAAATAAGTAAAGAAAATTATAAAAATAAAATAAAATATAAAAATAAAAGTGAAAAATAACGCAAAAGTACAAAATCAAAATATATTTAAGATTAAATCAAATAAAAATAAAAATAAAATAGTTTCACGAATACTGGTTACATGTAACACATACATAGATCATATACCCCTCTTCATATATGCATATTTGTAGTACTTACGACTAGAAATTCGGCCTTATCCACTCGCTGATTGCCGTCCGTATCGAACATGTTGAAGGCAATGCGAAAGCCGGACTTGGGTTCTGTAATGCATACATAATATTTAGTTGAAGCATAAATAATACGTTGCATATAAATATATACTATGAGAAGCTCTTATGCACTTGAATATATAAACAGTAAATGAAGATTCATATGTATATCTCACGCGATTTTGGTTCACTACTTACTGGTAAGAACGGAGAGCAAAAACAAGTATTCCGTGTAGGAAACAATGCCTGAATAAGAAATTGATTAATATTGCAATTAGTTAATCATTATTCGATGTATTTACCCTTGTCCCTGAGATTGCGAAAGAGATGTGAGGAGCCCTTTTTGATAGCTGGCGTATAATCCTTGTATTTCTCCACTTCTTCGGCGCTCAGCACGCGTCGCTTGAGTCGAGCTGAAAGTGCAGCAATTATTAACAGAATTTAGTTATAATTCGGTATTATTTTTACTCACGCCTGGGCTCCTGCTCGACGACAGATTCCAGAAAATCTTGTGGTGTCATGTACAGCTGATTCTCGTACTCCACGGAAGCGAACTTAATGAAGCGTCGCTCGCGTGCGGTTAGTTTAACGTTCTCCAGATCGGTGTCATCGCGATGCTTTATTGATAGACGACAAAAGATGAAACGTTGGGTAATTTGATATGCATACGCACACAGATATATAAACATATATAATGGGCATAAATCAGCGACCGATTGGATCGCCAGTAATTTCCTTAGCTGGCGCACAAAGGCGGCAAATGCAGACGACAAATAACCGATCGATATCGGAAATCAGGCCGTGCGTCTGGTGACGTTTTGATTAATGCTTGAACGCGACTTGAACTGCGATGTTATTATGAGTATATCAGATATATGATGTGCATATATATGGCCAGGCTTATTTGTAGTCTGCTGCATGCGGCTTTAAAGTGTAATATTGATGGCCTCGACAGGATTCCCACGTTAAGCATTGGCTAAGCAGCTCGGGCCAATAAAGTGCCAAATTGATTTGGTCACCAGATTTTTTTTGGGGGTCGGCCCATGCGGACGTATGTATTTGGTTATAAAATAAATTGGCTTAAGCTCCATAAATCTGACATTTAATGCCACACACACAAACTCTGGGCAGTGCCGCCCCAAGAAATGACTCAATTTTCAGGCCACATGCAAAAGTCGACTGTCTGGGGCATGTGTGCCCCGAAATAAAACTAAGCACAGTGATCTAATTATCGGCGTGCGGCTAGCAAATACTCTACATGTAGAGACATTCAAATTATTCATAGTGTATATATGTCACTCTAGACTGAATATGCTGTGCTATTCAACGGCATTGATGGCTCATTGATTGATTAATTAACTGATGAGACAGACTTGCCAAATTGCTGGAAGACTTTGTTGGATTGACCGTTTGATTGAGGAACCTTTGATCAGAGGTACAGAGGTTAGGATAGTAAAGCTACAATATATTTTGTATGTAAAAGTTTTGTTTTGTCAAATCCTTCTGTGGAAAATTGTGGGTAGAATCTCAACTGAACAATAAATGATTGAAAGCAATTGAAAAATGTTCAGAAAAAACCTTCAACTAGGAAAACAAAAAATAAGTAAAAGGAAATATATACATATACATATATTTAGCTATGAGAAGAGTTTGGATCATAATGTAGTTTAGGTCTTCTTAACCTTTCTTTAATTAACTTTCCAACTCAATCTAATTTTTATTATAATAAATCAAATCGAATTGGAAAAACTTGATCTTATACCTTTAAGACTCATAGGGGATTAGTCTATGCTCAAAGTCATTCTCTGCTTCTCATTCACACTAGCAGAGCTTTGTGATACCCTTGCCTAAGCCATTGCCATAGGGTCTTAATAAGACAAAGAGCCGTGCGCAATTTGAATGTTAGACATGTGCAGCAGCAGCCGCAGCAGCACTGCACGCCCACGCGTTGCAATTGAATCGTGTGTTAATTCTTCATAACTGCGGCTGACATCATCCAGAGGCCAGCCAGGAGAGCCGCAGGCGCTGTGCAGGCGCTTTATATATATGTGTGTGTATTTTATAGGCAACAATTAAAACTCATTCATCATCGTGAGAGGCAGTCGTCGTGGTTGTCATAACGTGGCTCAGGGACTTGGCACATGTCAGGGACGCTGCGGCCCGAATCATAGCCACGCCTGCGTCTGGCATTGGGCCTGCCAGCCAGCCCCAGACAGCCAGCCTTATAGTGGGTGTATCAAAATCCACACTAGCCAGATCGATTGATAGATAAATTTCGCGGCAACTGGCATTTGTGTCAGCATACGTTCTGTGGGCACGGTGGCAGGTGCGTGGGCGGAGTTCTCAGCTACTTGGACACTTTATCAACTGAACCAAATGCACTTTTCATTATTATTATTATTATTATAAGTTGTTGTCGTCGGATTTCAAGGTGTGTGGCAAACAACAAGCTTTTTTTTTGGTTTATTTTGGTTGTGTGGCATTTCTGTGGAAATTAATGCAAAGCCAATTAAGTATTCAAGAGCACTTAGATTGAATAAGATATGAGCATGTAAATTGGGATAATAAAGTGTCCAGAAACTCAGTTGTGAATAAGACTCTAGCAGACACCCTATAGACCGGCCCACACCTTACGTACCTATATCCATACTAATCTAATCATAATTGGTTTATCAACATTTTGAAAACAGATTATAAAATCTGATTTTAATTACAACATTAAAACTGTCAAGCAACCCGAAATCTGGTTTCACGAGTGTGTCAGGGAACGTCTACAATCTACAATTAAAGTGGGGTTTATTATTTTAAGTTTTTTGTTTTCTAGATAGACAGATAAGGATTGCATTAGCTACATTTATAGAAGCTCTGATACCCCTGCCATGGATTACCTCTCGCATCGAACATTGTTTTCGTTACAATCTCAGAGAAAGTGCTTCAAAGCAGCAGACATAGACAACATTTGACCATTGAAAACTCCTGTGCCAAGCTTTACTGCACAGACTGTTAACCTGTTTAATAATATGACATCTAATCGACGATAAATGCACTCATTTCTCGCTTTTCATTTTTAATTCGTCTATGTATAAAAATAAACATTATTGTGTAAACATTTTTTTTTTTTATACTTATCTGATTTAATTTAATGGGAGGCTAAAAGCGTAAAAACTGTTCCAACCTACATACCCTTATGGGCGGAAAATGGAATTGAAAAAAGTTCCCGCTTAACCGATTATAGAATTATGAATAATACTAATTTATTCTGAGGGCTTTTGAAGCCAGCTGCATTACTAATCCGCTCTACTGCATCAATTACAAATTAATCAGTTCGAGTTCTTAAGAAATTTCGTTGCTAAACTCGAAACAACATTCACGCCAGAGCAGTCAGTGCTATACGCATTGCTCAAGCTTTGACAGCTAATTACCCAAAGCACTTCAAATATTAGTTATTCACACCATAGAGTAAATGGAACAACAATAAAGTGCTTATCAGAGCGACAGCAAACACGCAACGCAAGTCAACAAAATTTTCGGTTTAGCAACACTAAAATAACTGACAATGTCAACAGGTGGAAAGACAAGTATTTTGTTTTTGTTGTTGTCGTTTATTGTTGTTCAATGAACTTGAGCACGCAACAGCAACCAATGGAAAGGGTATCCCCCAAAAAGCAATAAAGGCCGTGAACCACTTGTATTTCGTTTGCTTGTTACGTTTTGTCTAAGGTCAGCAGCCAGTCCGCAATGAGTAATCGTCACAAATTAATTTGTTCTACGTATACCAGCCGCTGTTTTGATTTTGTTTATCAAAAGGCACTCTAGGCAAACCAAAACTAAAAAGCGCAGCGAATGCTGCGAGCAAAACAAACACACAAACACGCACACACATACACACACACACGTTATTCGGTAAAACAGCTGTTCTCATGTTACGTTATGACAAACGCAACAGCTGGCTGCGCTGCGTAACGTAAGCTGCCCCAAGCTAAAAATAACTGCGCGAGTCTTTTACGGTCATTTATTGACTTTTCCACATTCGCAGACACACTCATACAAATGCACTGCTATCTCGATTTTTTTGTCACTTATAACTTTGCTACTATTTACCAGACTTTTCTTTCTCATTGCATTTGCAGTATTAGCGGCGCTTCGCAGGCGAATAAGTGCAGTCAGTGCCGCTAATGAGACGAAACTGCCGCCCACTAGTACAAGAAGACGTCGTGTACTATTCCTCGGATGGTATTTATTTGCAAATCCAGTGCTGACATTACGAAAGCATGATTTATACACTGTCGCACTTTGTTGTTGTGTTAAAAATGCACTAGTTTTAACCGTTAGACGCGCTACGACTTTTGCCATTGTGGATGGGCTCCGCGCTTTGCTTCCAAGAAGTAACTAAGCGAAGTGACAAATAGAAAAGACGTAAGAGCCAATTTGATAACCGTTTGTGACGTATGGCGCCTATAGCGTTGCCACCTAGGCAAAGTAGTGCACAGTGTTGTATGCGTTTGACGGGAAGTTGGCGCGCGTTTGAAATCGAATACAATATATAAAAATCATTTTTAAAAACATTTCATTAAAGGAATAGTAAATAAGTTAAATATAATAGGTAAATTAAATAAATGCCAAAATATGAAATTAATTCGAATTGAAGTTAACCAAAATAAACGTGTCAGCAGAAGAAAAAGAACAAAAAAAAAAAAAAGAACAATTCGCTTCACTTCTAATTGGTTTGGCTAATAAGTTTATTTGCTTAATAGTGCCAGCTAGACGAGACGATGTGATGTGCTCAACGTCACGCTGTAAGGCTACGTGCACAAATTCACACAAGTTTCCCGATTACGCAATTCCAAAAACTATTTGTAAATCCTGGCAGCGTAAACCACTGCGGTTTTTCAATGGAACAAACCTTTGACGCATTTTCTTTGCTAATTTTGTATTTTAATTGGGCATGTCCAAAATATAGATGAATGACGCGCCCGCTCCCACAAAAATATCGCTGCGTCAATAGCCGAACAAGTCCAAAGCTCAAATGACTCACAGTCAATGAGATCAATAAAAATGTCGAAATAATTCTAAGGGGAGAAAGAAATATACCAATTCGATATCAATGCAATGCGATTCAAATCAAAACCGGTTCACCGACCCATCAAATTCAATAGAAATGTTCACAGCCGCAAAAGAAAAAGATAAACAAAATATCGATTTCAACAGAGATCTGTTCTGGCCGCCCTTTGCATCCCTTTGCGTCCCCGAGGGCAGAGGCCACAGGTGTAGTTGGCGTCTGTGTTGCAAGCCAGATCAGTTGACACCGCATGCAGCAAGTGGCATCGCCAGCTCTATGAAATGCTTGGCATTGTTTTCAGTTCGCCCGAAGTCGACTGCGTCAGGGCCTGGCGTCCAAATGGGGTTTCGATTTTCTCTGACCAATTCATGAGCTCGTAAATTATGAAATTCTGTTTTAGCTTCATCTTTGACTCATATTTATTGCCAAGGATTGTGTTTCCTTTCGGTTCGCCAGCATTTCCTGCGAAAGTTGTAAAATTTCAGCATTGCCATCGGGCTCCAGCAAGCGCCAGCCTTCCGTCTGCAACTTGGTAAACACAATTCGTAAGCCATTAAAACGTATAAATATCCGTTGGCGCATAAAAATTTCAGTTGACGCCTTCGCTTCGCTTTGCTTCACTCTCTACTCTCTCTTTCTCACTCTCTCGCTCTCCGACTCTGTGCTGTAAGTATCCTGCGGCTACAAATGTAGGTATATGAATATTTGTCCGAATATATTTCAACTTTTAAACGTTCAATTTTTGGTAGTAATAAAGTCGTTTCAATTAGCTTTTGACTTGCAGCCGCATCGTTTATTGCCAAGCCAAAAGTAAATCAGAAAAATTTTATTTTAACTTGGCCCTCAAACTTAGCGCCAGCCTTCGGGGCAAACACATGTATCTCATACTCTTGCTAAGGGCCTTAAAATGAAGTCATCAAATATGTAACACAGATTAGAGATAGCAAGAGACAGCGAGAGACAGAGAGAGAGACCTTCTTTTAACTATAGTTAACTTATGCTCTTTAAAAACTTTCGTATCTGCGTGCAGTTAGGGTATATATCATTCGACACATTTTTTTTTTTTTTTTGTCTACGCTTCATGTTACCAGAAGTTAATTAGTTTGGCGTTTAAGAGCTGCTTGAGAGGCAGCTCCAACTCAAACATTTAACCCACATAAAGCTATTAGCTAATATTGAGCTGCAGCTTAAGGTGATTAATGCATCATCTAACGGTAAACTTATGCATTTTTTGATATATGAGCCGATTATATTTTTGACATTTATGCGCCTTCCCCCTTTTGTTTGTATTTTTATGAACAGATTATTGAGATATGTCAACGTTTGGGGTATTCTTACGAACTGACTGCGTTTCCGATCAGATAAAACATACATATGTACATATGTATATGTATAAATACATATACAAGAAGAGTTCAATGTCAATGCTCAATCAGTTAAAGAACATTTTGTGTCAAGTGATTTGGGCAGCAGTTGATGCATGCGCCTCGACATTGTTGATGAGGTGTTCAGTGGAGTTGCATTTGATTGTGTGTGTGTGTGTGTGTGCATACCTTTGCTTGTGTGCGTGCGTGTGTATATTTGTGGGGGGAATTCAGCGGACACCACCTGTTGGGCGAGTTCGGCCGAACTCATTGAGTTGTAATTAAATGAGGACCACACGCGGGACTCACACAAGACGTTGCCCTGTCACACACATGCAGCCATACACAATCACACACATACTCGTAAATCTTAACGGCATATGCAATGCAGTGGCAGGAGCAGGAACAGCGCACTGCGAGTTGAGTAGAGCATATGAGAGAGAGTCTGCTCTACTAGCATATATCCTATAAACAGTGGAAACATAAAGAACATAATCCTCTTCAGAATTAAGAGAGTTGTCGGAGAAATGAAGTTTGAAATTATTATATAGAAAGGCTAAAGTTATATTATATATTTACATACAAGGCTTAACAATTTTGTATATTCAACCTTATTTATATTAATATTAAAATAAACAAAAAGTACATAATATGCAAGACAAATCTAGCATAAAGGAGCTCTGATTCATTTTCAATTAAACAAACCCAATATATTCTTCAATTGATTTCATATACATATATACACAATTTCATGCTACCTATCCCAACTATATGTTCATAGCTAAGTAGGGTATTGAAAGGGTGCCAACTGTCGCATTACCTAAGGACAACAAATGTTTGCTTGCTGTTGTTGTTGCTGTTGGGGGCGCTGGCAACCACAACGGCAGCGGCAGCGGCAGCAGCCGGTTTTTCCTTTAGGCCTGTTCAACAAGTTGCCCCGCGTCGGCCTCTAACATGTTGTTGCACCTTGATTTATGTTGCAAGCCAAGAAGGCCCGGGCTGGTCAACAATGCTTGGCTGCCGCTCCAATTACATCACTCAAAAAGAGCGAGAGACACAGTCATAAAGAGATAGATAGATAGAGGGAGAGAGAGAGCGAGAGGGCGAGAGAATAGTAACTACAGTTAGGAACGTCGCTTGGCTGTCACATTAGGCCACACTAATCAGACGCAAAGCCAAGTTTATCGCACAACAAGATCTCCAAAGGATTATAGTCTAGACTCCAGACTCTAAGCAGACTCCGCATAGCCATTCAGGCTGCTTGTTTTAACGGGTTCGACTGCGGCCGGTTTGCAGCTCTTTAAGATAGCATCCCAAGTGGTAGATAGTGGTCGAAGAGGAAGACAGAACTCGGAGAAGTTCTCCTCAATGCTCAATGCATCTCTTTTGTCTCGTCTATCGTCTCTCACATTTGATTAAGTTTTGATAGCGCCGTAATCTGAGCTCCACAAATGCTCCATTGGCCACCAGGCTTGTATTTTTTTTTTTTTTTTTTATATTTTTCTTCTAATTTTATTAATTGTTATTGCTGGCAAGTTCCATAAATTGTTGTCTATCGCGCGATAGCCGTTCCACTGATTTGGTTAATAGCCGCGATATTGATATCGATTTCGTTGCAGCTACAATAAAAATTGCTCACATTAAAGCTTCAAGACTTTTTCTCTTTCTCTCGGATGCCCCGACCAATGCCAGACAGGTGTCTGTCCGTACCATGGGAAGCGGTAACAAGACAAGGAGCTACCATAGATAAGATGAAAGTTGGAGCTTAGGAATTTGTTTGTAGAAGAGGAATTTAAGAACTTTACCCATATGAATATTTTACATATTTGAAATATTTCGAAAAAACTGATTAACTAAATGAACTGCGAGAAAATTACTTGGTAGAACCATAAATATTTGAAAAAATTCTTTAAATATGCGAGGAGCAGACAAATTTATGTGCCACAAAATAGTTTATATAGAATATCATAGAAATAGCTTTGCCAATTTTTACACTAGTAAATAATATGGGAATAGAATATATCAAAAATTTGTTAAAAATGTATAAATCATTTGAATATTATAAAAAATACATGCGCATTTTGATTTAATGAAATAAAGCCTAAGTTTATATTTGTCATATTTATTTCAATTAAATTAATAATTTTCAAATACTCCCTTTTACTCCCT